CTTTTAAGCAAATGTTTTCGAGGTGATAGTGAAAAGTTTTAAACTGTTCCTGAGATATATCTCTATCTGTTGACTTCTTAAATTTTTGAAAAAAAATCAGAAATGTTGGGTTGCCAAACCGGATTACGAAGTTGCCTTAATAAGATATTGCTGTTTGGTGAAAGAGCCAGAAAAAGCCAGCTTAATAATCCAGCTAATGCACGGACACTGCTTAATAAACGCCAAGTAACCAATGGGTCCATCACCACAATATCCTGCAGTGTTAATCAACTTACTATTGTGAATCAATCAAATCTTTCGTAATAAGAAATTAATATCATCCATTCTGAGCAGATATTTAGACTGCGAATCTTTTTCATTTTAAAAGTTAAAGAAAATTTCTAGCATTTCATTAACAACACCAAAATTCTGAAGGATGAAAGAAAAAGAAACTGCAAGAACTGCAGACGCAAACCTGAATTCTTTCTTGTTCTTTTATTGGCGCTGCAAACCAGTCGTCATATAACGTTAATATCAGTGTAGCTACTGTACCAATTAAACATAACAATATGTCTAAACCACCACTCTGGAAACTCAACCCACGTTTCAAGCCATCTATTAAACCAGAACTAATTTCAAGCCTAAAAATAAGATATCTCTTTTCCAAAAGTAGGTTGGTGATGTTGTTAGGAATACTTAATTCTCGAACTGATTTTGCTGAATAAACAAACAATTGAGGATTACAAGACAAAATGATGAAATACCTGTCAAGCGCTGCAATAGTGCTAATCACAAAGCATGCGTAAAAGGTAGCTTGGACTGCCATCGCTAACCATGTGTAACTTTTATGAAGTATATCCTGAGAAAACAATGACAAAAATTTGGTTAATTAAATAATTATGCACTTAATTCAATCCATATAACATTTTCTATTTAAAAATACATTGTTAAGAAATTAAAGGATTAAATGGCACCATAGAGGGAGAGAAACAAATTCATAATGAAAATTTACAATATCGGCAAAAGCAAAAGCAAAAATAGCATGTGAAGTGCCGAATCCAGACAAAAATCCTGAAAGTAAAAAATTCGTGGCGGTAAAATGAAACAAGCTTAAGACTTGGCTTAAAATGCTTTAATTGTGTTTGGGAATTGGTTTAAAATAATAAAAGTTTAATTCAAAAAAACCTGAATATAATTAAACATTATATTTACCTTGCATGATGAGTGTTATATTATGGAAGGCAGTCTGAATTGTCAATGCAGCCTGAATACTCTCTGATGGAGTAACAGTCAGCAAATCATCTGTTCGCGCTTCTAACATCTTTTCATATTGTTTTCGATCCGTTCGACGGAAACTTCCTGGAAAGAATAAATTTGCCGAAATATTATTATCAGCGTATCGATCAATTTAAATCGAGAATTTAGAGCACCAGTAAACGAATAAATAAATAACCAACTATCATGCTGAACGAATACATCGTACACTGGTTGGCTCAGAATCACTGCCATTGTAGCACTTTTGCTTACTTGTTCATCGCAATTTTTTTGATTTTCTTCAGCTCTGCTTACTCGACCGTAATAGTCCCCAAAGCTCTGCGATGTAACGCTAAAATATTATTTAATTAACTCATCTGTTAATTTACAGGTTCCATTTCTTAATCTAATTCTATGAAAGACGAATGTACATTTCCATTGAGATATAACTTTCCATACTTATCTTCTTTTCATACCTAGTGTCATATTGCTTACTGTGGTGATTCAACATCACTTAACGTCGACGACCGATTTAACACTTGGGCGGCAAATTATAAAATCAGCGATATGATTTCACTGAAAATCAGTAAAACTAGAAACCAACACTTGGACTCTTTAAAATTCAAATGCATACATATGTAGCTATGACGACAATGACAACCTCCAATTTTCAAACAGAACTGACTTAGGATTTGCTCTTTTGTTCTCTTATAATTATTAAACAAGCTCGAACTATATATATGAAATCATAATAGTTAGTGTTACACCACACCGCAAGCTATCACAGCTCTTTTAACTACACAGAATGCACAAGCATTGCTAGATAGGGCACTCTTGTTACCCTAGCAACCTCAGTATGTTCCAAGTCTTTGTAAGGCTTTTTTTATTCTTTTCCCGTTTTCCATTTTGTTAAAAATGCTTTTTGTGTGCTCAGTTACAATCTGAAATAAAATAATCAACAGGTTTAATAGACGTAAGCATCACAAAATGAAAAATTAGCTCTCAAATTCGTGAAGATTCAAAATCAGACTGAAAAAGCACTAAGAAATTCTTGACTCACGTTCTTACTCTACGGGAAAGTCATCTTTCATGACCGCCTAATTGTTTACTCGACTTAAATGAATACAGTAGTTAATGCCAAATTCTATCCAATAAATGCTAAAAGTGTAATCTTGCAAGAAGATAGTTACGATCTTAAGTTAAGGAAAACCACAACTGTTTTGGCGAAATCTTGTAAATCAATTGTTATTTTTTTTTTTTTTTTTTGCAAAAACTAATACTCATGATCAAAGCTTATCCTCTAAAAACAAAACCTCTCAATTTTAAGTTTTACGATAAAGTTATGCTGTTGCAATTATTGTTACGAACATTTGCCTTATTGCACCGGATTTGTTTACTTTTTATTTTGAAGACCTTAAATTTTGGTCTAATAAGTCTTCCTATAAGTTTCTTCAATTCATTCTTTTTTAAAATGTCCATGCTCCAGGACTATTTAATTGATGTATACACTGCTACATTCCCACCCAAGACAAACTACTCATTACACCGAGAAAAATGAAACCATTACGAAAACTGGATAATGGAATTTTTTGAAGTTCTATAAAATAGTGAGCCCTATTTGTGACTTGTTACTGCTTATTGTAGACGGATGGGTTATTTCGACTATTTGTTATTTCGCTTGATTAAACACTTCGAGACACTAAAATTTATTCGCTACGAATTTGATATGTTATCATAATATATGGAAACTGAAAGGTTAAGACAATTGATTTTGGAAGTGAATCTTTTTTTGTTTTTGGTAACAATAAAAACAACTAGGCTTTTATTGTCAACAAACATGTGATTATTTCCAGGTCTAGAAAAGGTAGTGTATTAAATGGATATCAAATACCATAAGAATTTAAACATTTAAGTAGTGAAATTTCATGTTTTCTAACTGAATTGGTAAATTAAATGCTTCATGGAAAGTTTTCCAATGAAACTTTCTCTAATTTACAATTTGGAGTCGATAAATTCTAAACACAACTGATTCGACGACAACTTTCTGCCAATGTAATTTATTTAAAATGAAAAATTCCCATCTAAGGCAGAATCATATTCCGGATTCTGAGTAGGACCACTTCACACCTATTAATTTTTTCCCGGATAACTGGGCTCTAAAAATTAATCTCGTATTGTATAGTCATAAAATCTTTTCCTGGGTTTTGATCTCTCTGGTATTTAACTACTCTTGCTCTTTTACTGGCCCAAGTGCAAATCTTCCCTAAAACAACTTAGAGCGAAAGAGAATATAAGAGATACTGTTAATATCAGGAGATAATTTGCTCATGTTAGCTCTTCTTGTTATTTGTGATTACTGGCTGCCTCAGTTTTCAAACGATTTTGTTAGCTCTTTCCTGGACCATTTCAACTCTACTCATATTTTTTAGTACGCATTAATCTAGCGTCTATGCGGAACTAAAGCACAATTTCTATCTGTTGAGTAAGAATTTCTGATTTTTTGATTGGTTTGTTCTTCGTTAGCAGCTTATCAACATCCACTTTTGATCAGCGATCTTAACACAAACTTTTAACTTGCTCTGTCGTTTGAAAAATATGTTTATATCATTAAAAAGTACAACAAGATATTCATCCAACGAAGATTTATACTCTTTTCAATATAAATCTTTTTCAGTAATAATGAGATTGCTCTCATTCGTTTAAGCATAGAAATATGTAGGCTACAAAAAGTTTGGACATAATGCAGCTAGAAGTCTGGGAAATGTAATTCAAGAACAAATGAATGAATCGTTTCCGGAATGATTAGAATTTTAGGAATGGCACAAAAAATAGATGGTGAACAATCCTTGTTTTCATTGTATAGTTGAATGAGTTAAAAATAGATATCAAGAGTTAGTTTAAGAGAAGAGGATCGTTTAGAAAAGAGATATCTGATTAGATCAGTTGCAATAACGGCTTTTGAAGAATTTTCCAAATCCCGTCTTCTTTGTTCAGTGTTGATTTATGATGAAATTAAACAAGTCAAAAATATAAAAGGTGGTAAAATAGTACCAAACTCTGTAATCCTGGGATTGTTATGGATGGTTTTGGAATGATGGATATTAAGGAAAATGGCACAGAAATGACAGAAAATGATAAAGCGATGACTGAATTGTGTTCTCGCCGAAGTTTTATTTATCATAGTAAGGAGTGGTCGAATGTCCACTGTATTCTTGAGATCGCTGTATAATGTCTCGAGAAAAGAAGTACAAACACACATACACATACACACACACGCATATTCATACGCTTGCATTTACAAACACAAGGAAATGTTATGTATTGCATATAACTCATTCTTATTGACAAGCAATTAGCTTATTCTAACTCATTCCAGTCGACAAATAAGATTTATTAGCTTCCATTATGTGATTTATATATTTAAATAGCATTTGCTTATGTCATGACAATCTGTCTTTTTAAGTTTAATTTCATATATTTTTAAATTATTCCTCCTCAAAACGCTCTTCTTTTTGTAATTGTTTTATATACACTGCATTTTTGGATTCTAACTAAAGATAACAATCATTTTACACAACTATATATGCAAATCGACCATTCGTGTTTGTTAATTTTAGGTTGACATTTGCATTTGTCCGAGTGCTGTAAATTAATTAACTCAGTAAAGTTGAATTATTTTGTAAAATACTTTACAGGATTTGTCTTGCATTCTGGCTATCAGGGTAAATAATCCAGAACTGAGAATTTGAACCTAATTGTTTGTCGGGATGTTCCTGAAAGCATTGATCATTGGTTTGTTTGTCCGTACAACACATTCAGTAAGTAAGTTATAATTTTGCTGTGGTGTAATTTCTTATTTCATCATATGTGACAACCTTATAAGATCACAACTTTAGTATAAGTTAATCAGTTCATATAGGCACTTTCATGATCGATAATGAAAAAAAGTTCATGGCTAGTAAAAAGTATTGTTCATAACGTTACAAATTAGCATAAACTAGCACAAAATTCCAGTATCTTTATATTTTAGCACAGACTAGCATAAATTCTTTTTAAATCATCTCCTGGATGATAGATCAATTTGAATTTATGTTCAATTGATCATCAACCTTTAAATGTGTGAAGTTTTATTGTCGTCATTTGTCCTACTATAGAAAGGTTATTGACGAAACTGGGCAATCTAGAAACTGTAAATGAGCCATTTTATTATGATATTGTTCTTAGTATTCACTCGCTTGAAAGGGAATAACGATGATTGCTAAAAAATAAGAATTGAAATATTTTTAGCTAGCGCCTTTGAAATCATCTCCTGGATACCCACTAACATCGCTGTCCTTTTTATAAAATGACAAATGGTACTTGATGGAGCACTTTTTCAGCTTCCAATATGCAACTTCCCTTAATCATTGATCATACTGTTCATGTTTACTCATCAAGATCATTTATTCGTACTGTTCCGAAGCACGGAAACTCGTTCCGAAGAGAGTCAGAAATAGTCAAGAAGCTGCGGAGTATCTCAAGAAATAGGTCAAACGACTACCGTGTGGCATAGTAATAGCAGCTCTGATCTAATTTTCTTCTGCTTATCTTTCTCTTTCTCTCTCTCTCTCTCTCTGTCTTTATATATATATATATATTTCTGGTAATTTCTATCTTCATTCAACTTCCTAATTAAATTATGTTTTTTTGAGAAATGAAACTTTCAACGCCTGAAGATATGATAAGCTAATATCTACTTGCTATCAAATATGGTACAGTAAGCATTAATATCTGGCAAGAAAAGAGTCGCTAAAGACAAATAATTGAGTTTATTTTATGTTGCCAGTTCCTTTCATTTCTCTTCTTAAACAAAAAACCAAGAAAGTGGTGAGATTCTCTCATTTTTAACCAATATTTACGAAATATCTGTTGAGGAAATTTGTGAAAATTTTGAAATATCTGTTGAGGAAGAAAATTTAATTTGGATTATTTATGAGATAACATCAAAAATTTGCTTTTTACAAAAAGTACTGGTCAATAGAAGTTTTTTTCAAATTTATTAAGCAAAAGGTTTATAGAACATGTTTTTGAAACAGTGTTGTAATTTGGATTATTTATGAGATAACATCTCATAGGGCCAATTTGATACTTTACCAAAGTGATATTAAAAATTCTTGGATCACCTGCAATTCCACACTTTAAAACATATCAAGTCTTAATTCCTCCTCTATTTTTTTTTTAATTATTATTCTAATGGCAAATGATAATGAGAGGCGAACAAATTAATAACTAGGGAAGAATAAGGACTTAAATCAAGATTTCCCTAGAAATATTTGGAACCATCAAAATGCGTATATGCAGTACTTGGTTTCAGGTTTATTTTTGCATCAGTTATAGATGAGAGTGAAATGAACATAAAACAAAGTCTACAGTTTGTTCGTTAATCTAAATTTCAGCGTCTCGATGCTTTTATCTTCCAAATATTGCACTGATTGGTGGTACTTACGATGAATTTAATGCAAATGATATTAAGGTGATACTGTCTCTTCCATCAAATACTGGAAAAAACGTTAAATTCAATTTGTCTATGCTTTTCACATGTTCACCTAAAAAACAGAAACTCGTTGATTAGCAAGAGATAAAATTAGTACTCGTCTGATAGAGACGTCCAACAATCTTTTGAACAGAGAAAGAACATCTGCGAATTTCTTCAATATTGTGCAATTTGTCTAAGTCGTTTCGAATATTTGCAATGTTTTGACAGCTTGAAGCTATAAGGAAAGCATCACACTTTTATTACTGAAAGAAAAAGTCAAACTTTTATTAGTGAAGACATCACTTATTTTTTCTTTTTTGTTTTTTTTTTGACAATAAGCAATAGAAATGATTTTAGCGATGTTGCATAGCATGTGCTCGGGATCATTGCTGTCTTGGTTATACATACAGCAAAACAAGAAAGCGATGTTATTTGAAATCAGCAGTGTCCAACTCCGAAATCAATTATGAGACAATTAGTGGTTTAAAGGCGAATACTCACTCAGGTAGCACTTTTCATTTTTATTGAAAATAGCTTGAAATAAGACAGCATAGGTAAGTTGCGTTTCAAATCACAACTGGGTGCTGTAGTGGAGTATTGGGATTTGATTCTACCAAGATTTTTACCAAGAAAGGATATTTTTAAAATTGGTTAAAAATTTTCCGTTTAGAAAGTGTCTCAGTGCAGTTTATTACTGTTGGATGATCAATTATTTCAGGACAAGGCTCAATTTTGAAAAACGTGAAAATAGAGGGTGGTGCGACAGCGGCAGTACTTTTTAGGAAGCCCGAAGAATGTCAGCAGTATTGTACAGGTTAATTTATGTGTAATTTTATTTATATATTAGAGATATTTGTGAATGTAATAGTTTTTAAAACAAACAAAATAAGCGTTACATAAATGAATAATCTTTCTTATACATAAGAAAAGGCGTTAGCAAAATTGCATATTGATGTATTCATCCACTGAAATATAGAAAAATCATTTTAATTCAAGATTTAGCCTATGGCATATATTCGTGGAGTCCACCAACTCCAGGAGAAGACGGAGAAGGTCACTGTGTATGCATGACTCGTATTCAATCACTTCAGTATTCATATGGATCCCGTTCTGCCATATTTCCACCTGTTGCATCAATTAGCTGAGTTCCGTTCACTATTCATTTCCTTCATTTCTCAAAGAGTAATGACCTAAAAATTTGCGAACCTTTTAGAAGTACTCGATATTGCACGTTTATGCACCGTACTAATTTTATTTCAATCGAACTGTGTTAAAGGAACTAAATTTTCTTTTTTGTCGTTTTTTATGAAGACATCTTTCGATATCTATAAATCAGTTAAATTAATTAGCATTTCTGAATTCGTTTTAGTGCTTTGGAGCTTCACAAATTTGCAATATTTATAACATTGAAGAACTGTTAAAATCAGAGTTTTGCTCTTCAGCATTTAAAATGCAGTTGAATTCCGCATTAAAAAAATCTAATTTTGCAACAAAAAATTTAACAGCTCTTCATACCGTCGTTTTTGAATACACCTTTTAATCATTTCTTTGTGTAAATTCAATTGAAATTCCAATGAATTTATATGAATAAGTAAACAAATTGAGCATTAATACAAAGCGAATTACGCATTAGTACGAAATTAGCGCTAATTAATTCTAGCCATGAAATCTAATTTAAAAAAAAAATTTGGAAATCCCTGCAGGTGATTATTCATATTAGTTTCAGTGCCCTTTTTTTAACCAATAATTATTTTCAATAATCCAGTTTAGTAAATTCAGTGCTAATAATATTCGAAATTTCCTCTCCAGTTATATATATAATTTTACAAATTTCTATGCCTTTGATAATTTTAAACGCAATCCTTTTTGAAAAAGTTTTATGCATTGAAATCCTTATCAACGATTTCATATTTTTTCGTTTTCATTTAGACACCGACATTACTTTTCCTCGTTATGAGTTGTAGTTTTTCTCATAATGAACTGTAAATTTTAAACATAAATAGTTACTTTCCTGTTTCATGAAAACTTCAATTGACCTACACTGTTTAGTGTTATGCTAATGATTTTATGTTCCTATGCAGTAATGTGAAATATTTGCTCCATCCTTTATGGAATGCGTGTGGATTTCGTTAACTGACGTCTTGACCAATAAACTTAAACTTATCATTTACATATTTTGAAATGTTTTTAAAACAGCTTTAAATGTTCTTTTAGTTGAACCAGTAAGAAAGTATCCTTTTCGAAGTAAAAGCTTTAGAATAATGTAAGAAGATAATATCAGAATGTGGAAACAATTACCATCTACGTTGGAAAAGAATCCAAAAACAAATTTAAATAATTGGGGTTTTAGTTCAATTTTACATGTAATTTTTCATTAATTGTAGATTCCTGAGAACAAAAAAATTGACTAGTCAGACTAGCACTGAACATTCGTTTCTAATGCAGTCAGACTGTATAGATAATAACAGTTCCCAAGGAAAGCATTCACTTAAGAATTGGATGAAACAACCAATTACCTCTATTATATGAAAATCTTGGCGGAGGAATTGTTCTGCTCATTTTATTCGAAATGTTCCCATCTGCTCAAACATTATTGCTCGGTATGATCATTAGTGATGGTGCTCCTTTCATGCTATTCATTCAATCCAATATTATAATCCTTCGCGGGATGGAAATGAAGTGTTATAAATGAATTTTGATTTTAAGCGCCTTTATACAGATATATGAAGATTGTGTTGCTAACGTGCCAATCAAAGCTTCGACTTCAACATAGCAACCACCCAATTCGAATTTCTTCACCATCATCAAATATTTTCTGACCAAAAACTTTAATTGAAAGATGCAATATAAGATTGCGCAAAAAAATCTCTGCACATATAACCAGTACTTGTAAAACTATATCCACTGGTTATAAATCACAATTTCTCTGCATTTATTGACAGTGTAGAAAGACCTAGTCAACTCTTCCTGAAAGTCTGGAGAAGAAAGACTAATTGTCTTCTTAGCTGACTGCAATCTTCTTAGCTGACTGCAACTAGGTATTCACTCGTTATTCTAGTGTAATTAATCGTAAACACTTTTTAAAAATAAGGAACAGATAAAGCAAAAAAAAAAAAAAAAGCTGGCCAGTTTTTCTGAAAAGGACGGATATATCATTATATAACCATTAGAATAACGAATTAGACAAGTATTGGAATAGTAGAGGAGAAAATGAGTATGACGTACAACCGGAAAAGCACAATCCTTCTAGAAATCTTCTAGAAATGGCTTCTAGAAATCCGCCATATTTTATTACTGACCTCGTGAATGCCCTAAAAGTGGGCAATGTATCAATGGTTTTATATAAACAAAGATTCTGCATTTCCCTGAATAAAGTTATCTCGACTTTCAAAATTATACCATATAGTATTTGAAGTTTCAAGTTGTGCTGAACAAAACTGAGGGAATTTTCGTTTTTGAACATTAGACTGTCATGAAAGGAACAGTTGCACAAGGTAATAGCTTTGAAATGACTATTTATGAATTGTTTGACAATCAGTGATGAATTGTATCAGTGATGTATGCAATTCGGCTCGCAAGTTTTTTTGTTTTTAAAAAAGCTTAGACTGCTAATGTCAGTGGATAATTCAGTCATTCTAAGTTGCGGTGAATAACTGAATAACTTACTATCGCCTCCAAATCTATAAATACCGTTTTGAGAGTATTAGCTGGACAGGGGAACCTGACTGATCACCTTGCCATTGGATGCAATTCAGAAAACTGTAGAAATTCAAGCTTTGTTCATTACCATAAATAGTTAACCTATTGGGTATATCAATGGAAGCTATAACAATATTGGAATGAATGTGGCGTTGGTGGTGATACTAAACTGTGAGTGGTACGTCGAAGTTAACGTGCTTTATTGCTCAGATGCCGCTTACGGCGAGAGCCGAAGTTCACTGGTTTGGCTTCCAGAAGGAGAACACATGGCGAACACTGAACGAACCATTCTCCTTACACCATCACTATCCCTTTATTACAAGTTACTCTCTATCCCTGACGTCCTTTCCTTTGTGCACAACTCACAAATACTGGTACCAGGTCTTCCATCATAATTGTGTCATAATGCTTCTTTTGCGTCTTTCCTATAAGCCACAAACTTTATAATTATAATAAAATTATTTAGAAGGTTAGTGAAGACAAGTGGAACTTGCTTCCATTGTGAAGGAATTGTAATTTAGATAAAAATGAATTATGCAGTATAGTAAAAAGTGGCATACAAGGAGTCAATGATTTCTTTCGACGAATTATTTTCAAGTTCACAGCGACTGAATCACATTTCATCATTTCCAATTGGTCCCCGCAATGGGTGCATTGTTTGTGCAGCACGAAATGCATGAATTGCAACGACCTGAGTAAACTTCATCCATTTGAGTGGGTATTTGCATTCCCACTGGTTCCAGGCGACATTTGCAGTCTGCTTCTCTTTATGCTTCTATTATGCATGCGTATGTATATGTAAGCTGTATACGTTGCTGCTGTTTGTTCAACTCTGGGATAATATTGGATTTCTATGAAATTCACTTTATATGTTTCGCATACTGCAAAAATACGGCTGTCATTTATGTGCCGCTGCTGCTGGTGGTGGTTGTTCTTGTTGATTCAACTGAAATAAGAGCAGGACGGATGAATTGTTCACAGATTATGATGTGCACTTCGGGTTATAGAATCATTTCCAGCATTTGGAGATTTTGGAAGCGGACAAATTCGGTAATTTCACATCACGAACTTTGCTTAGCAACGTGTACGACTGTCCACAAACTCTGCAATAGCGTAAAGAACCGCAACATTTTTCCGCTGTGAAAAGGACATAGCAGGATTGAGGGAAAAGAGAGCGCGAGAGAGAGAACGCAAAAGCATAGACTATCACTGCAACACTATAGGTTGTTTGCCAAGATAAACACAACAGCTATTTGCCTGCAGTGAGTGAGCGCGCTACGGCAGTACAATGTTTACGTCGTCGTAACTTATTCCGAGGATACTTTGCTACTTCTTTCCACTCCCTCTCACCATCTCTCTCTTTCTCTCCTTCCCTTCCACTCTGTTTTAGAAATGAGGTCTCAATGCATGCTTATAAGCTTCACGCAATTTCATTTCTCTTTTCATCCACTCAACGATTGCGTATTGTGAACTTCTCGCTTTCCCGCATGCCAATACTTTTACAAAGAAGGATTCTCTGTTCTCTGTCTCTCTGCATAGTGTATGAGAAGGAAAGAAGGGAAGACCGTATCGTTTGTTTGTGGCAAATAATAACCAGGTTCACACTCTCTCCCTCTCTCAATCAGTTCGTCTTGCGTCTCGCTGATCTGTTGCCCTCACGCAATCCTTTATGACACTCAATGCTAGAAGTGATGGCACGCTATATCTGCTCCTCCCTAAATAGAATTAAAGGGCTAGGGAGAGAAAGAAGGAAGGGAAAGACTGAGAGTGCCCCACTTCCCATGTTAAGGAACAGCGTTGTCGCGTCGCTGCTGAAAGACTGTCCCGCAAACATATTCCTCCACTCCTGCTCTCCCTGCATTTCGTTGCCAGAGAGGGAGAGGGACAGAAGAAGACGTGCAGTGGTGCGAATAGCATGTAACGTGCTATTCTTTCGGTAATTTCAAATGAGCCTTGCAACATCGTGCTGCAGAAAGACTGAATAAAAGGGAGGGAGGCGTAGGCGTTGAGAGAAGGGGGCGGAGGGATGGAGCGGAGCGTTCTCATCCAGTCAGTGAGGACATTTGTTGTGCAGGCATCCAACATAACCAGCCAGCAGACAGCCAGCGATATAGTTGCGCTGTGCTTGTTGCACGCGTGCGTGCGTGCATGCATGTCTTTCTGTCACTCCCATCTCAATACTTGCCCACATACCACACAGAAAGAGGGGGAAGGAAAAAGAAAGACAAAGAGCGACTGCCTTCCTCCCTTCCTCCCTTCCTCCCTTCCTTCCTTCCTTCCTTCCTTCCTCTTACGGCTTACAACCGACTGCCATTCCGAAAAAAGTTCGCAATTAAAGAAGCAGCGATGAGTACTTGCAACAAAATGCAATTAGTGCTCCGTTTACTGAGCTTTAACCGCCGCATCGATATGCACGCCGCGCTATGCACTGCGCTGCTTTGCGCGGTATGCTGATTTACACCCGTTTCTATTATTTTTAAACCTCTTTGAAGGATATCCGATATCTCTTAATTCATTATCTAAATCATTCGAAGGACACATAAGGATACTAAATATTGACGCTGCTGTCTCTTATAATCCAATTCTGGCGATACTTTGTCTTGGGACAGTTCATTTACTACTAGTAAACAGCCCTTTCATACGGGGTGTTCCGTACTCATCATCATTGATCCGAGGAATCACGGCGGCACTCATAATACACTTCCTCATCAACAGTTAATTTCCGCACTTTTACAGGTAAACATTTTTTGCATTCTTTGTCTGCTTTGTGTTCTCTGGAATGTTTGTAAAATCATGCTATAACCTTTGATCTCCGGGAATATCAGTTTCTCAATAGATTTCTTTGAAGCACACTGAAACAGTGAAGAAGTTGCATTGAGATTTGAACTGTGTGCTTGTGTATCAGTTCCACTCGCACAGAAAGCTTTAAACATGCAGTGAAAATCAGTTGCTTAAAGAAAATCAGTTGTGATATTCACCTAAACTCTAACCATCAGTTCATGTTAAACCTTTTTTCATCACTGATTCATTAGCTAATGAAGAATCACCCATATTTGGAAGTAAAGCTTAATTTTTTGACATCACAACTGGCATTTCTTTTTTTTTTTTTTTTTTTTTTTTGGCAAATTCTCGACAACTGTAGTTTATAAATATCTAAATCTAGCATTCCTTGTTTCCTTTCTTATATTCCACTGATTATTTGGATTTTTTTTTTGTTTCGGAGAAAAGCTTTTTAACTGGATTTTAGTGCATAGAATTCCTGAACGTTAAAGTTTGTTTTGATAAACTCTATGTCTATGTGGTTATCTCTGGACTATGGGTTAAACATGTTATGCTTTTTCATTCATTATCGGGAGGTAATATTCGTCCTGGATAATTGTGGATTACGGTTTTTTGGATCTCATAGGAAGTATTTCTGTTAGGTGGCCTATGTGACACGTGCTTATCAATATGCTTGGTGATCATAAATCGTATTGGCTACTTCAGTTGGATACCCCCTGCGAGATTGGAGAGTCGAGACGCTCAAGAAGGAAGAAAGGACCCTGAAGGACAACGAGTCGGCTTATGAAAGGGAGGAAGGCAGCAGGGTGAGCAAGGTGAGAGTTAGGAATGCTTGAATGAAATGGAATGAATGCGCTCAATTGTGGAGCACTGGAACATTCAGTTGGTTTGAGGTGGGTGGTTGACGCTCTTCTGCAGCGTCCCTGTCCGTTTTCCTTCAAAACTCACACAAACATCTCTCATTCGAACAACTTTGTGAAAAGGAAGAGTATGAAAGAAAGAAAAAGGGAAAAGAATAGAACAGGCACAGGCCTCTGTCAGAAGCATCGTGATTACATATAATTTGTGCCAGTGTGTCGAAGTGATGATAAAGGTTGTTGGACTTACATATATGACACGTTAGTGTAGCAGGTATTGTTTTCTAGAGCTATGTTTCATGTAAAAGTCGGTCCACTGTGATTTTCTCTTTCATCTCAGCGGGAAGTATCTCTTTACTTGTCTTACTCGAACAATTATGTCCATGCAAGATTTACTGCATTCTCGTGACTGGACTAATACCACACGTAAATAATTGTGGGGATTTAAGCAATCCAAGATTTGGACGAGAACGAGATCCCCGCCGTTTTTAAAAGAAGAAATCCAACTACTTGAAGGTTGATTCCAAATTGCATGTTTACTTACAGGTAGCATGTATTAGTTAAGAAGGGTATTTTCTGTCGCTAATTATCACTATGCTATTTCTAATTCGACTAGCGTATTTAATTAAAAAATGTTTTCAAATTTAAATATGATGTATATTCATTTGTGGAACATAGGTTTTGCAGATCTGATGAGAGCCGTCATGAAAGTTGCTCGGTGACCTTGGTGAGTTGCTCTCAGCGAGTTTGTGTACATATGTGTACACATGAAGTTATGCACCATCGATATTATAGAGAACACACACACACACCGCTTTCGCATAATTCGATTTCGAAAACTTTTAGAACATGCTTGAGTAGGTCATGTATCTGACGCATGTCTCTAAGAACAATTTGCACAGCAGTACGATGCCTCGATTCTTATCTATAAGCATTTATGTTCACTGACTTGATATTTTTAGTTTATCTGAATTCATCGGTAATAGTGGCACTTATGATTATCAGTATTTGACAGTTGAGGTTTCTGGTATTATAATACAGTTGTTGATTAAATCTGAACTAAAGTGAGAAGTTGAGGTGATAAAGGAGTGGTTCGCGCATATTATGCGTATGTTATTCAGCAATAGATGATTAATAATATTTAGTTAATAATATGGATGGTAAAAATATACATTTCCCATCTTTTTCGCATGTTGGTCCTCATTTTAACTACGCATCAGTAGTTTACTGCTGAATTTTTTTCATCTGAACACTGATTGGTGCAATAAACCCTGACCTCGGCGCGCTTTGTTTCCAGCAGTAGGAGTTTTCTCTTTGACAGTAGTTTCAACGTGCAGGGATGTTAGCAATAAAGATGGTTTATTAGGGAGTGTTGAATTAGTTGAAAGCGAAAATGTGTCTTGGTAACGACAGGTGTTAGGCGTCTTGGTGACGACACGTATGGTACTACAAACCCGATAATAGGTAGAAAGCTAGGCTTCCGTTTGTGATAGTGCTACTGATGCTATTTCAAGTGTCGGTCTAGAGAAGCAGAAGTATTGGCGCTAATGGCGATGACGATATTGTGACACAAAGTGCGATTGACAAACATTGACACACTTATAGGCATATATATATATATATATAATTTATTTAGTACCTATTCCTATATTTACTCGGTTTATATTCAAATATATTTTTTTATACTTATATGTAAATAACCACAGGTCTGGTCTACAACTGAAAGCAACCAAATGAAGCACAAGTCACCCGAGTTGTAATTTTTAGCTACGACCTCCATCTGCGCTTATGTGTGAGTGGGTGGACATATTAACGTACACAAGTTATTAACACCCAAGCAAATCCATCACAATAGGTAATAACACAAAACATACACACACAGCATCAGGCGATGATGGAAAAAGAAAAGATGATAGGGTGACAGAAGATGGACGGAGAGGAGAAAAGAAGACCAGCAAATGTGATACTTTCCGCTGGCTGTCTCAACTATGTGTGAAGGACTATGTATTAGAACCTTTCTTGCGTTCACTAGAAGGTCGCGAAAATTGGGCATCTGTAATTCATCTCATTATTTTTTCGTCCGTTCAGTCTTCTCCACTGTTATTTTGTATTCACTACGATTGAACCTCGAGTAGGGAGCGATAGTTTGGGCTTAGGTTTGTTTATGGGTAAATCACTTTATCACTTCACATCTACAACTGCCAGTTGTCGATGTGATCTACTATGCTACTATGTTAGTGTGGTCATAATTCGTCTTCAGTTTATGTGGTTTTTTGTTACATTTTGACAGAATCATGTCTAGCTTATGCCTAAACCCAGTCTGTGTTTAATCCAGTTAACTTTGGTCCTGTTAATAAGCCGAGTAACTGGATGGTTAGCTGCAGCAGCGGAATTAGCTGAAGGAATTTTTCCTCGCCTAAAATTTCTGATATTTACAGTAGTTTGCAGCTAGAACAAGCTGGGTCGTCAAGTTGGCGGATGAAAGAAGAGCAGCCGCTTGATTTTGCGGGACCAACAACTGTTTCATCAGCTTTGTCAAATAATAATCGAGCAACACAGCCAACAGTGGCAAGCACACATTCCTCTACAACAATTTGCCAAGGATGCTTGGAGATCAAAAAGTAGGATCTCGAATTTTATTTTGTCTTATTTTATTTTTGAGATTTGTTATATGCACTAACGGAGTTGTTATAATAATGTGGATGCATATCGTCGCAATGAACATCAGATTTGTTGATTGCTTTTGACATATACTGACGTAGCTTGAAGTATAAGTATTCCTTCATATTTGAATACAATTCAGCAAACATTCCAAAGCGCGGGATAATTTTTGTTCTTATAACAGCGGTTAAAGCAGTGCAGTTTTCACTAATGTAATGAATGTATAAAAGAAGCCAATCGTAAATAGTCATAAAATAAAATGTTTAGTAACGGTCATATCAGATGTGAAGAATTTTCAGTTTTGATTTGTACTTCTTTAATTTTTCCATTTTTGATTTTTATTTTATCTAGAGTATCCACGTTTTTATTACTGAGACTGAACCAACATCAAGAATTGTCTCATCGTTAACTTGCAAATCGTTTTTTAACCGATTCTTTGCTATTTCCCGATCCAGTGTCAGTAAAATTCATAGCGTAGTTTTCTTGAAACAGGATATTATGCAAGTCGCACATCAGGAGTAGTATTTCTATATGCTTTCGAAGCAAAAAATGTGTCATTTTTCCGCTGTTTTGAAGATATGGAATTATACTGTAAGGTGGAAAATCTTGAATATAAGCAGTATCCGGGAACTGGAATTTTTTAGCTTTTGACTTGTTCTGAGTGAACAAGATATATGTATTTGCATCAGTGACGTATTGAATATTTCGACTTGCAGAGAAGTGCAAGAAATGAAACAGCATTTCGAGAGGAATATGCAAGCTCTTATCAATCAGGTTTGTGCTGCGACCGGTAGTGAACTGGGGAATACTTTGGCAAGCTCTTCGTCAACTCCTCGGAAGAATGCAGTCACTCCTGAATGTCCCGTTGCGCTGAGACCATTGCCAGCATGTCAGTTTGTTTTGAAGATTTTTACAAATCAAACTTTGTAAAGTTTTTTGTAGCTTCTGTCTCTTTTGCGGAGAGCTATGCCATTTTTTGATCCTTTTATTTACTTTCCACTGTACTCCTTTTTCAGTGCCAAGCCCATTGTTACAGTGGAATCCTTGGCTATTTCCGTCATTGTTACAACAAACGAGTCCAATTTTGCCACCAAACCTGCAAGAACAGCTACAGCTTGGTTCAATAAAAAGATGGAATTCATCGAACCTCGACCGAAAATGCGATTCAAATGGTAATCCTTAAAAAGTTACCAATGAAGACCTTGCATTCAAATTTATAATAGTGTTTGTGAATATTACCAAAGGAAGATTTATTTGGTTACGCAATACATCCTTTTAAATTGTTGGGGTAATTGTAAAAACTGTTAATTGAATAGAATATACATTCTTTGATAGATAGAAATGTTGTATCAGCAACTTTCTGTTGTAATAATGTAATTGTGGTTCAGTTTTCGTAATTTCGGATATATTTATGTCTGATTACTTTTTCCCGGTAAAGTGTTGACTTTTTTTTTTTTGAAATGTGAAAGTAATTCGTTATTTAAATGAAGCCGTATATTTTCGTATTCCAACGACAAATATTATTTAGGCGATGCACAAATTGATCCGGTAAGCATTGATAACAACAACGATATGTGCTCAACGCCTGTTTCAGTTACTACTAAGAGTGTCATTAGCAGTACGGATGTGAGTTTCGAATTGAGAATTTTTTTTATGTTGATGTCGATCTGCTTGAATTGTAAATGATTTGCTAATCAAAAAAATGTACTTTCTTTTCTCAGATTTCCAACTATGGAAAAAAATCTTAACAAATCTTAATAATGCTCTAAAATAGGTTCTTGCGATTCATTCTGTACTTATATTTTCTGCAATTATTGATATAATTTTTTTTGCAGAATGTAGCGCACGTATTCGCGTCGAAGTTAGATTCACTGTCTTCACTAAATCCTTTGCTTCTACAGCAGCAGCTGTTACAACAACTAGTTGTGAATGGACAGGGCCATCTGCCACAATCGTCATCAACACAGTTACATCACATACAACAAACGCGGCAAGAACAGTCTAAACAGGATCATTCTACTCAGCTTCACCTGAGTTCTACGAATGTCGTTGATCAAACAGTATATTACTTTAACTGACGATTTACTTCATCCAGATGAACTTCGCAAAAGCTATTTTTCTCGTAATTTTAAATGCCGAAGCATAAATTAATGTCATCCGGAATAATTTGCCATGAAGTTATCAATAGTTTAAGCAAATGTTTTGGCGAGAAGACCATAGACCATGAACTCCTTGAGTAGCTTTAGCGAAGCAGATTTGTTGCTTAAAAGAGTCATTTTAGCTAAGCTGTGGCCTTCCGGCTCATCTGGAAACATTAGCTGGACGAAATCAACAAGTTCATCAACATCTGGTTCAGCAGATGTTAAATAGCAGTCATGGTTCCCAAAATACATTAGTTCGACAACAGCGACAACATCTTTCTAATGCTTCACCCTGTCGAAAGGTATATGAATGCATTATAAAAGTATCGTTATTTTTTGCGGAATTTGCCTTTATCAAAATTTCATTTTTTTCAGAAGCCTGTGTCAGATGATTATGTAAAATTCATACGTCAGAAGGGCATTTCTCAAAGCAGCATTTCAGATATAAAAATTCCGGTGCCCCAAGCTTATCTTTCAGATCCAGGTTAGCAATGATAGCTTTTTAATTTCAGACAGTTCTAAAATTTGCTGCAGTCATTTTGATTTTGGTTTGGTAAGAAACTCTTTAATTTCAACTCTTCAGGTTTCACACCTTGTAGCGAAGAGCAGATTATTCACCAGTTTCATCAAAATCGTCGCTGTGATGATGATGTACGCAAGGCAATGGCTTTTCTTTCGAAAATGTTGGCTGAAAAGCGGGTATTTGGTACCAAGCTAATGGCACAAACGACCGTTGCTGGTCCTAATCATTCAACTTACAAAAATCTTCCTGAAGAAGGCATTCATTACATTGCTTGTAAGTTTTTAAAACTTAACATGAGGTTTCTAACAAATTCAGATTCAGGGCTAAGTAATTTCTTTAGTATCAGTTCAATTACATTAGCAGTTGGTTGCGTATAACTTGTTAATGAAATGAAATTCACGCTAGTTTTTTATAAAACTATTGCGTTGCAGATGTATGTCGTAAAGTGATGATCCATCGAATCCCCAATGAGGATGAATTTTGGGAAGTGTTTCGTGATGTGACGCGTAAACTGGCTGCTCGTTGCCGACGTGTGCGGCATTCGAAAAAGACAAGAAGTGAAGAACGTGATGCCAAAAGACTTCGCGAAAGTAGTGCTGTGGATCATCATCGCCATCATCATTTACAGATTAGTACCACGGGTGCTGTTGCTGTTGATAATGATGCTTTAAAAGCTGCTGCTCCACTCCTTTCCAATTTGAAAAATAATGCAACAGATACTTTTAATGCAGCCCTGGAGCATCGTTTACAGGTTAATGAAGAACATCTGAAAGGCATACAGAGTACCCCATTGCAGGCGTCGTTTAAACCTGACACTAGTGTTGCCTAACATCTCTGCGTATGTTCTAATTTAGGACATAAAATGATGCAATTTAGTGTTTTCTTAATATATATACATCTGATTTCTTTTTTTTTTTTTTTTTTTTTTTTTTTTTTTTAACTAAAGTTTTCAGTTACAGTTGTGTGATTGCTAATCATATTAATAATAACGGTGACTGCTACTAGTCGGAACCAGTAGTGAATCAGAGATTTTTCCCAGAAAACTTAAACCCACGTTTAGGTAGTTTTTTTTTTTTTTTTTTTTACCGTTCGAATGTTAATTTAGCTATGCAGAATTTCAAGTTAACGGGGAACAGAAACGAAAATTTGGATTTATTGCTTCCCATTTTATCTTTTACTTACTGATTTTCACTGATTCATGCTAGCTAAACTTGACATACAGCGAACAAGTCAGTTTTTTCAGCAGTCACACTAAGGATTCGTTAATTTGTGCTGTTTTTTTTAGAATGTGACCCAGTGTGGTGCTGTTTGTTACTCGCTGTTTTCTTCGTTGTTCTTTTCAGGGATACTTTTCAACTAAGTTACAGTTTTTCATTTTTTTGGTTTCACCTCAGGTGTTGTTTTATCCATTTCAGGTACCAACTCAGGTCCATTTTTCGTCTTTTTTTCATCTTTTTTTGAATTTACTTGTCACTACTCAGTTTTACTTGCAAAAAATTGTATATTAGATTCAGATTAAATTTTTAAGAAAAATTTCGCATTTTTCTTTATGTTTGCTTTGCTATGTTCAGTAACAAACTCGGTGTGTTATTACTTCACTCTGCTGTAATGTTATGATTTGTTGAATCTTTTCATCATTCGCTTTTTTCCCACTGCGAAAAATGTCAACTTAGTATGTATGCTTACATCTATGGTATGGCTAAGCGGTCTTTCAGGAAGAACGAGTCAAGATTTGGCGATTTAGCATACATATATGCTATCGTATTGGTCAGGTCAGTATTTTATCGGGATGCTTACCTTAGACAAGTGGAATATTATTTAAAACCAGATGCACTCGTTCCGTTAATCATGTCTCCTAAAAACGTCCCATTTTTCGATTTTGGGAAAATGCGAGTGGTTCCGTGTGTTTATGTATGTGTAGCTGGTCAGTGCATTTTGCTGTTACTCAGGAATGTTGTTTTTTCTTTTCATTATACTATGGCTACCTCAGGTCCGTTTTTTCATTGGTTTCATTTCTACATTTTGTTTGATCTGTGGTCTCTTTACTTGGGATTTTTTATTTGTCAGGACTATATTAACTCGTTTTTTTGAGCAGATCCACTCGACGAGTTTGGATGTTTTACCTCAGTGAATTGTTAATCTGTCACAAAATCTTTTTCCTCTTTTTTTTTTTTTTTTTTTTTTTTTTATGTCGGTGTTTTGATGATTCTCCTTCTAGTGGTGTTGGTTTTCTTGTTCACTTCAAACGCAGTGTTTTCTGGCTCTCAGGAGACTCACTACTTCAAGTGTGCTTGCTTATTTCTTGTACGCCACCGCGTTCGTGGTATTGCAGTTTGTGTACATCAGCTTTTTCGATTTAAATCGAAAAAAAAAGCGAAGTTCCCACAACTCTTGTAGGTTGGGATCTTCGCAAGTTATTGTTCCGTTGATTAGGATACACTTTTGATGATCGCACTGAAAGAATTTTATTGATGTTATGAATGTTCAGTTAATGCTGTCATTGTTTTATCTCCTCATTACTATGGTTCATTTTTTATGCTTACTTTTCCACCTACAGTTTATTGCATTCCTCGATGTTACCTCGAACTTTTTTTCTCTTAATTCATAAGAACCGACTGTGAAAAATGTTCCATATTCGACAAATTGTGTCGTTCTAAATTTTCTTCGGAAAAGCCATGTTTGGTTTGGAAATCTTTTGCTATGGCAGAAGGCCAACGAATGGTGAACTTACAAAAGTGGGAATAGGGCATCTGGGAATCTGCTCGCAAAAACTTCCATATTTGTAGATTGGTATAAGTAGTCCATCGTGGATTATGTGGTAAACTTTTATACGTCGAATATTTTCGGAAAAGCAGATATGTTATTCGGCATTCGGTGATTTTCATTTCATATCGTGTATCTTCATGAATTTTTTTGACGTTTGTGTCTTGTCACATAAAAGTTGCTGGTTTACGTAATAGTTGTGCAGGTAAATGGAGTTATCTTCCAGGGCACGTTTTAGAATCAGTGGAAGGTGGTTTTGTGAGGAAAAGATAACATATTTGATTCCGCGAACCTTGCTGAAAACTGCGCTTTCTAAAAGAACTTTTCTTATTTCGAGGAGTGGATTTGGCTACTGGAAGTATGGAAACAGCAGTCCAATGTGGTGGGGAAAATTCTGGAAGCATGTTAATGCATTTCGCAGATGCGAAGGGAGAATGCTTTAAAACATGGATAGAAAACAAGGGAGTGGGGGAAATGACTCGTCCACATCTCATGTTCACGTTTCAGTCTCACTGTCATGGACACTCGAATTTATTGCTATTATGGACAATAAACAAGCCTTGGACGATCCGCTAAGCTATTCCATGACAAGTAGTGTATTTCATTATAGTATTAAATAATTTGGCTGGATTAAGTCTTATCAATAATGCACCAGGTCAATGAATAGTGTTGAGTCGTAATAAGACAGTTCACTTTTTCGCACCGGTTGCCGAAGAATGCACGAAAAGTTTAGGAAGGAAATAATCGACTTCGAAACTATGTGATCTTTCTACTAACAAAGTGATGCTGCATATATTCTCGAAAACATTTTTTGAACACTTATGCCAAAGTGAAAAGAACGATTAAGAAATCCGCAGTGATGTCTATCGATGTGACTCAGTTTTCATTTCGTAAGTTTCAAGAAACATTATTAGGAAATGAAATGAAGAACTAAGAAACTAATGACGCATTTATTATAGCTACAAAACAGTTCATCCCCATCCTTCCCAGATTTAAAAGATAAGAAATCATGGGAATAACGATTCCATGAAACTGTCTGAATTGGGACATTGAGAACGGTAGTTATTCAAATCTGGGGTATGCTTGACATTTTCTAACAGAGTACAGCTAACAAAAGATTATTTAAGCAATTTAAATTCTGATGTAATTATGAACTTTCATACGTCTTAATCTGTCCCAAAGTCGTTATGAATTTAACACGTTAATACATGACTTCAAGGCATTCAGTGGGATTTTATCCGAAAAAAGGCTTCAACAAACGAGATCATGATAATAAATGAAGAAAACATGTTAAAATATTGATTTAAGTTACATGTAAATATTAAGGGAAAAATTATGAGGAAAGTTTTCAAGATTTGCAAGAAATCAGCGGAAAATCAAAACGAGGAGCAAACAGTTTCACGACTATATCAATAGTAATGTCATTAAAAAAATACGCAAAGAAGCAAAAATTAAAATTAGGCGTTAAAACTAATTGTTGGTAGAGATGATAATAGTCATAACAAGATGTCTTAAATTGAAAAATTCAACTGTCAACTAGAACGGAAATATTTGTTGTACATCCAGTTACAAACAAAACAATGACAATGAATAACAAAAAAGAGCTTACTTGTTACTTTGCTTCCTGTTTAGATTTACCACAATAAACAAAAATATACATTTCTAGGAAATAACGAGCAAAGGCATTTCCAGCAGTATACCATTTACGAATATCATGAGACAACGTATTTACTGGCTACTGAAGTCTGGTTATTCTGCTAAGTTTTCATGCCTTCTAAAGGAAAGTTACACACAGCTCAGACAAGATATTACGTTTCGGAAACTGTTAGTAGTAACACTAATTGTCGCGGAAAAAGAAAATAAAATTTTTGGATAAATAAGGAAAATATCAATGGAAAAAACAACAGGTCAAACAAAAAACTAAACTACCAATTATTAAACAACCTTCTCTTAAAAAGGTCGCCTTTCAGGCCTAATTCTAAAGCCAAATATGAGGAAAAGAAAGGGCTTAGTCGATGAGGTATATTGAAACATTAATTAAAAACGATACTTGAAGAGAAATATGAACGAAAATAATCCTATCAAAACAAAAACTTTATTAATTGTAATGGAAGGAATGCAAAACTTACTGTCGAACAAAAACCTGAAAATCCCTTAAGAGATTATTTTCGCAACACAAGAAACCAGTTGAGAAATCCGGTTGAATAAATCGGTAAAAAACACAAAGCAGCCTAAACTGGTTGGTACTTGGAATGAAAAGTGAAGAATTACAGAAAAAAAAAAAACTCTTCAACGGAAAAGGCACATAAGAGCCTAAACTAATCTGGCATCTCTGTTGACATCAGTAGCTCAGTGAAACATAGCTATTGTTGACTAACACTAGTACGAACCAAATAGGAATACATGCCATTTCTTTGAGTTACAGCAACCTTTTAACTTTCATAAATCTCCAGCCAGAAATACATCACTATTTCCTTCGAACAAGTCAGTTTCAATGAAACCACATTTATATTTTAGAGCCCAAGCTCGATTTTTACTTCAAGAGTTAAATATTGTACAAAACAAAGTACCATACCTCAGGTTAATCTAATCCCAAGTATTAGAGTTCTGATTTAATCAGAATATAGAAATAACGGAGGAAAATGACACGACTGAAATAAATACAATCTTGATGACCTGACAAACAACGAAACTATTTCCTGAGACTGTGCAAATTTAATACGGAAATTCGTGAATTTTTATCGACCAACAGCACCAAATGAATTAGAATGACTGTTACCATAGTGATGGACAACAGGCTGGGTACGCTGATGGCTCGTTGGAATAATTGCAAATTGGGCCATTATTGGTACGTGGTCTGAGGGCACATGAGCATGTGGAAAGCCGATTATTTTATTTGCCAGCACCCACTCCATACTCAGCGGCCCCAACACTCCCAAACGGGCTAATGATTGCGGCGTTGAGAAGATGTAGTCGATAACACCTTTAAATTCAAGCCTGAAATTTAAGTTCACTCATGTTCCGAAATTTTTACTTTGGATAACAATAAGCAGCAATGGTGGAAAA